TACTTAATAATAATACGCATGGCCGATTTGTTACAGTTTCGGCAAATTGTTTGCTTAGCGGTTGCTAGCTCTTCGATAGAAATTTGCTACGACACCGTTTTTCAAATTGCGCGTTGGTTCGTGACTGAACTAGCGTACTTAAAGACAACGCCTTATGTTTGTGGCTTCGCAATTTTCTCTCCATATTCTCCTGATAGTTACTATTTTTACCTCGCCTTTAAAACCACCACTTACCACCCCCTATTAAATTACCCTTTTGGTTTGAATTTTATTAGTGGAGCGGCGTTCTAGGTTCCCGCCCAACTTTACTTTGACAGCCGATTTGCAACAGGCTGGTAATGGCATAAGGTACTTTCTCGTGTCCTACTACCGAATTTCACCTAGCAAACTTCCTTTGACGGTGTGTCTTCTGACCCACATACTTTAAATTTATGTTGGTACAACAATTACTTGTTACTATTATTCAATACCTTAACTACCAACGCTAACGTTCAAAAGGCGTGTGAGATCAGCCCTCGATGATATGTCTTTCTACGGGAGCCTCCTGCATATCGTCTACGCTCCAGAATTCGAGACCCCTGCCGAATGTCGCGTTAAGCTTCATTCTTTTCGTCGCTACAACGATGTAGTTTTCTCCAGATTTGGTAAGTTTCATTGCTAAGTTTTGTTTGGCAAAGTACAATTTCCCCTAGCCACCTGCCCTTTTCCACAAACTTGAAATTACCATTTGCCATCCAGGCGATGCCAGATGCTCATGATGCTCCACAATGGTGTAAAGAATTGTCTCATTGGCTGTTTAGGTTATGTGGTGAATGACTCCTAATTTCATTGTGTTTCATGCATATTCGTAGCGCACTAAGTAAACAGATGGACGTTAAAACCTTATTGAGGGGTTTGTGTGATACACACAGCTGTGATGCCATTCGTCCATCTTGTTTTCGCTGCGCAGGTCCCTGCAATTTATCGTAAGTCAGCAGTTGTATGCTCTCCGAGCATTTGCAGAGGAAAAAAAACAACTAATACCTTTTTTTTCACCCAATGAGTTACTTGTGTTCTGCTTAGGATAAAATTAAGACCAAATCATAAACACATTATTATTCTTACTCAGCTTACAATGACAATCCTGGCATTTGTGAAGCCGACGTGACTTTCTAAAACAAGTACGTTTCTGGATTAGAAGTAATTTGAGTAGTGGACGTGAACTGCCTCTTAGTCGTCAATATTTTAGGCTCTACGAACATTCGCTTCGGCTATAAATATGTCATAGTAGTTCCCAAATCTTTCTGCGTTAATTCGCTTATGGTCAAAAGTCTCGCTAGCCGGTTGACCTTCTGGCGAACAGAATCCGTTGCAACCGCATAAAATACGCAAATGGGCGTTTACCCATTCTTCCAATACGTTGTAGTATTAAACATTTGTATGAACACATACTTGTACAATTTAAGTACACACATTTTTTTGATCATGACAAAGTGATAAATGTTTACTTAACATGCCAGTTAAGGCTTATAGAAAAAGAGGAGAGGCTGAAACTATTCTCTTTTCAAGAAATGACTCAAGTAGAATTCGAGTTAAGCAAAAGAAACATTTTAAGAAAGTTCACCCGTTTGAGCTTGGTTAAAGCGGACGCAGGGACTGTTTTAGCTGTAACATCAGTTGTATAGGAAAACTTGACAATCTATACTCGAATATTCTCGATAATGCAGCCATTATGTCTACCCATCTTTTGGATACGGCGTTACTCTTTTTTATACTGTTATCCTAAATGTTTTATGCGATTGAAACTGACTCACCCGAGTAGTTTTAAGGATCATAAACTACCTCCTGCGAAAAAGATGTCGAATATAAGTGATTTCGCTCAGAACAAGATTTTTAATTTTCTGGTTTCCTCTCATCCTACGGTAGTTGCTCCTACGTTTGGAAAGTAACTTTTTGAGGATGAGTGACGTAGAAAGCTTAATCGGTTCTGCGAACGACCCGATTCACAGAACGTTCTTTGCCCTCAGAAGACAGCACTCATTTCGAAGCTACTGTCTCACAGTAAAGTGGTCAATTCTATAATGTCACTTGAGTTTTCGTATCATTGCGAGATTGGCCTTTCATATCTGACAGAACCTCAGTTGAAAAGGCAAGGATAGCTGCAGATGATTAATTAAGTATGCGTTTATCAACTGGGCTTTTAGCTAATTTGTTCTTGGAAACACGCTCATCTCTCATCTTACTTAATGGAAACGACATTTACGTTAGCTTCGTTTTCTTTAAAACAGAAATTAAATAAATAGATATGAATACGTCTCTGTAAAGCTGCCGTTGGTTTCTTACTCTTAGCTGGATTATCAATTTGCTTCTTTGTTCACGCACGTAACAAAATAAAAAGAGCGAAAAACAAAAGACTTTTCACCATTAGTTTGAGGACTTATTGTAATGTGTCGTTTGGTTATTCAAATACGTTTTTCAAAGGGAGACATAGAATTTAAAAAAAAGAATGTTTAACTTTTGCATTATTTGGTATGCGGATGACTAAAACATGGAAGACTTTTTCGATTTTCTGGATGCGGATGAAAGTTTCTACAAGGTCGCCTCTAAAGAGGTTGGTCATTGGCTAACACATAGGATCACGATAAACAAAAGCACCCATATGCGTGTCATTTTCTCTGTAGAAAAAGACTTATTTACGACAAAATGACCACAAGTTTTAATACGGCAGCCCGAGCTAAGTCCCAGAACGTTGTTGGCACGCCAGCGTCAACTTTTATGATTTACAATGTTCCCAGTGTATCCCTCTAAGGGATCTTTGCGTAGCTTTTATCACCCGAGGCTTCCAAAATGTGAGCTGCGTACTAAGTCCTTAGACGTTGTTTTTTGGGGATGACGACTGTTCATAATTATAGGCTTATCAGAAGACTACCTTCGTTGCCAAGGCGGACAGACTTCCGTAGTGACAACCTGTCATGAAGCTTCTTGAGGGCAAGTAAAATATCTATTTGCTGCTGCAAACATATCGGCCTTCCGTATCCTTAGCATTTAAACAGATGCTGTGAAATTCTCACCCATCTTAGTCTAGATCACGTCCAGGTCGCCCTTATCTCTCTGAAACGGTATTGGTTATCTTTGTTTGTTGCGCGCAAAGTAATACCATCTGTAGCGTGACGAGTTGTGCGACATGGTTCTCCTTAGAGAGGGAGAGAGTTAGTTTGGTTCCAAGCTGCTGGCCCTGTCCACCTGCCGGGCATTGTGTCTCGTACTGGCAGGCGCTTTGTTACAAAATTATTTGTTACCTTTTGGCCTACTTCCGTGACCCCGTTATAGCTTCCAGGCATTTGTCACCTTTTTACTGCAATTTCACACCAGCTCAAATTTCACCCCGAATAGAGGCCAGCATACGCACGCAGTTCTTTCGTCTGCAGCTTGGCAGCTGTTACAGGCAAGAACCTGTACGTAGGTAGGGCGCTGAAGTACAATTGTTTAGATGGTTGACATTCTTCTGTGAGCAGCAGAGAGGGAGTATCAGAAGTTAGTTGCGATTCCAAGGGCCTTAGAAGACCATGCGTCTATTATATATTCAGTTGACCCAATCTTGAAAAATTTGCGCCCTCGGTGGGAGTCGAACCCATGCAGCAGGGAAGGCTTTTACGCAGTCAAAGATCTACCACTGAGCTACGAGGCTCACTATGGGCCGTGAATTTAAACATACTTGGGTCGATTTACCCACCCAACCTACTGCTCGTATGGAATCCACCATTACGGATACAGTAAGTTGACTGCCCAAGCAGGATTTCCTAAGCGATCATTTAGAATCCACCAGAATGACTACTAGGCTGAC